TACAGACAACAAATAACATACACATATATGGTATCGCTGTGATCGTCAAGAGCTGGAGAATTTATTTTTGGTTGTTCTTTGGTGGTAGGTTATGGCTGTAACAAGAAACATACACATAAATAAATAAAATGATTTTTTTTTTTACTATTTTGGGCCAGTTTTCCTTTGATAATAAAAAAAAAAATCAGGAGATATCCATTACCATTTACCACCAAATGAAAGCCCAATTTGTCCTGAAAAGAACAAGGTATAATTCACCTGGATGTACAAAGTAGTTGTGAACATTACAAAATTGTGCTTAGGCATTTAGATTTGTTTTACCCTTAGGTGTGAAAGCTTTAACCACCACAGGAGGGACTCTCGTGGATCCATCATATGACATCCTCTAGTTGTGTGAACAAAATGATAAAAATTTAGTTGGGGTACAGTGTTGCATGACCGCGCAATTGTCATTCAAAGTGTGAGGGCGCTGAAACCTGAAAATTGGCCTGGGCAGGAAGGGGGTAAAAGTGCAAGGCATTGTTGTGCTCCTTAATATTGTATTGAAGTGGTCAAAGCATTCCAGCTGTTCCTTGCAATAGAAGAGGCATTATAGTGACCTCTCTGGTGGCCATGTCTTCTTCCTTTACTTCAATCAAGTCTCTGTAACCCTAGGTTCACACCTAAGTGTTTTATGCAGCATTTTGCAGAAACGCAGTACAGGCCTTTTAACATGATTTCCCATGGGACATGTTCACACCTGTGCATTTTCACCCGGTGCGTTTTTTGGAAAGGGTCCAAGACTTTTTTTAACACAAAAAGTTGCATTTTTGGTTTTATAGACTTCAATGGAAATGCTGTAGAAAACCATGTATTGCGCTTTTGCTGCATTTTTGCCACGTTTTTGATGCTTTCTGCATTGTATATCTGACTAGCAACAAGAACATTTTAAAAAAATGACCCCCCCCCCGCAAAACACATCAAAAACGTGTCAAAAACGCAAGTGCAAAAACAATGCAGAAACTGCTCAAACGCAACCTGCATAGCTGTGAACCTAGCCTTAGGGCTCCTTCACACCAATGGGCTGTGTGGCCAAAGCAGTCCTAATGCAAGGGTGAGACAAATGTTATGTGGCTGCAGTTTTCACCAAGGCATTGTTGTGCTCCTTAATAAAATTGGCATTAAGATTGCATAAAATGCATTAAGTAAAAAAGAGAAAAAAAAACAGAGAGAGAGGACATACAAAGACACAATGTAATGTGTGCTAAAATGCATTACAAGCTAATAAGCACAAATCAGTGTGTGGTGTGCATGCTGCGGCATGTACTGTGGTTTGAACAAGCCCTAAGACTCTTCAACATCGGACGCCGTGTCCTCCAGAATCACTTTGCAATCTCACCTTCCAAGGCCTAATAGACTTCAATGGGCTCCCCGCATGCAGCACCTGGAAGTTACAGACACTACAAATAATGGCCTGTTTCTGCTATATGGGCCTGTGTGAATGAGGCCTTATACATAGACCCTATAGAAGTGATTAAAAACTGGGAATATGTAATTTTTATTGTGAATATTGTGTATTTTCTATTGGCCAAATTAAAAATGTGTTGTGTCTGCATCCTGCATCCTAGCAAACAGTGCCACAAAGCCGCACAGTATTACCGGTTGCTAACATGCTGGTGGACAGGCCCCAGTGTCACTGGTTGCTGTGCCAGCCTCCTAGCAACCAAAAAAGGGGGGGGGAGTCAAAACATTCAAAAGCCTTCCAATTTTTGTCCCCCCCCTTTTGTTTGCTAGGACTCTGGCACAGCAACCCATAATGCTGTGCCCTATCTGTCATTGTTCTAGTAACCAAGGGGGTAGTGGATAAAGTGGGACAGGAATGCCCATTGATGATTGTACCAGCTTTTGAGTGTTTAGGCCTCCCCATTGGTTCCTAGGATGCTGGTTGGTCACCAGCCCGCTAGCAACCAATGTTGCTTCAAATTTGGGTGTGTGACAAAAACAGGTGTCTAAGGAGGCAATTAACCTGGGCACGCTCTTGTTTGACAGTGTCATAGAAATTTTAGAAAACCAGGGAACTCTGGACACGGATTTGAGGAAAACAAGTTATTTATTAAAACAGCACTGAGTGACCCAGCCAGGCTCATGCCTGCAAAGCCGAGTGAGTTGTATATACTTCTACAAGTGTATATACCAATGATTACGTCACAAGGCATATATCCCCTCTTTCACTTTCTATACATTCCAAAGACTTTCTAAACTCTGCAGAATATAACCTTGAATAGCAGCTGCAGATAAGGGTACTAACTACAGGCTGGTACACATTACTCACTGGAAATAAGGGAGGGGGAGAGTGAGCTGAAAACCTGCTTTGCAAGCAGATACTATTAGATATGTTAAAGTTTAAAGGGGAACTCTGCCATATCTGGGTGCTGCCACAACAGTTTCTGTAATGTCCAAAAGCATGCAACAATTTAATTGAGCACTGGCACCAATCTTGTAAGTTAAAGAATTGATGTAAAATGTGACCACAGTGGAGGAGGGGCAGACAGCGAGGAGTGTGAGGGGTATGGGTATGGATGGACAGCACACTACTAGCATAAAACAAATCGTCATGCAACACTTTTATTTCTTTGAAAAGCAAAATAAGTGTCCATAGAAGAATTGGTGCATTTTCCTCCTTGAGCTGTGTCCTCCATTAGGGTCCATGCACAGCAGATGCAGTTGGATGTGTTTTTAAATGCATTCCCACTGCATAGACCATGTGTCAAACACAAGGCCAGACAATTTCATGTGGTCACCTCTCCTGCAGTACCCTAATTGTCTCCACCCCTATCCCCAGCAGTAGGCAGCAGAGAGGAGGACAGAAATCCTCCGCCAGATCCTACATTTCTCTGTGCAACCACCTCCCCTGGTCTACGGCAGCTGACTCCAGCCCTCCTCTGGTCCTCCTCCAGACCCTGCACTTTTTATCTTAAAGAAGAACTCCAGCTTTTCCTCCCAAAAAAAAATAGGTGAATCGTGATTGTAAATGAATCACAACCCCACTATCAATTTGCGTGTAACTTGCCTCCTTTAGCTGTATACAGCAGATTTCTGTGTCTTTGATGTCACTCCTCCTGGCTGAATTTCAAAGTTCTCTGACTTCCTGTTTCCTTCATTTTCCAGTCCTGATACTACATCTCCCATCATCCTTTTGAGCCTCTGTAGTTTCAGGGTGGGCTATGGGAGTCACTTGCACCAGCTGTGGGAGTTGATGTGGGTGGGTCTAAGGGTTACTGTGGGAGTTTCTGGGCCTTCATGTGGGTGGTGAAAGGAGAGGAATGGAATTGTGTTTTTGCCACCCACACTCCATCCCTCTCTGCAGTGAATAGGGAACAAGCAGGAATTGGAACTTTATTCAAAAAATTAAAGCGGTAGTAAACTACCTGCAAAATATCCTAAATAATGGGCCTCCTGCAGTGTTCGGTCATAATGTACTAGTATGGACTGCATGAACTGCATGTTCCAAAAATGTGCAGAAATGTATGTCATGCGTCATTGCGTTACCATTTAGGCTGCGTTCTCATTTCCATGTTTCTGAAAGCAACCAGTACAAATACATACACTTTGCCGTGCATTTTGAAAACAACCGGCAATGCACATCACACTTGCGTTATAATTTGTTTGCAACTGTGCGTTTCTGAATGCATGGTAATTCACAAGAAAATGCACGCTTTGGTGAGCGCTTTGAAAATGTACTGTAACGTGTGGCTCACCTGCATTACCATTCGTTTGCACCTGTAATAAAAAACGCATGGTTTGCCATGTGTTTCAAAAATGCGCAGCAATGTGTGTCACATCAGTGTTACCATTTAGGCTGTGTTCTCATTTATAACATGCAGCAACCAGCAAATAAAACACATGCTTTGTCATGTGTTTCAAAAACAAACAGCAACACACATTGCATTTTGCGTCACCATTCGTTCACATTTGTGCATTTCCAAGCGCACGGCAATTCACAAGAAAATGCATGGAGCACTTGCATTACCATTCGTTTGCATCTGCGCATTTCTGAATGCACAGCGACCCACGCTTTGCTATGTGTTTTGAAAATGCACGACAAAATGCATCATGCTTGCGTTACTATTCCTTTGCATCTGCACAGCCACCCACAAGAAAATGTATGCTTTGCCGTGCGCTTAGAAAACACGCGGCACTGTGCTTGCATTACTATTCCTTTGCATCTGTTCATTTCCAAATTAGTAGCAATGTGCATCATACTTTTGTTACCATTTGGGCTGCATCCGTATCTGCGTATTTCCAAACGAGTGGCAACCTGCGCAAAAAAATGTGTGGTTTTCTGTACATTTTAAAAACATGCCGTGATACACGTTGTGCTCAGGTTACCATTCATTCACATCTGCGCCTTTCTGAATGCAGGGCGACTCACAAGAAAAAATGTGCATTTTCTGTGCATGTTCTAGTGCTATTTTGGGGCATTTGTCGCATGTACGGCACCGTGGGAAAATGCGTAGATGTGAACCTGTCCCATAGGAAATCATGGTAAATGGACTGCTGTGCGTTTCTGCAAGACGCAGCGGAAAACGCATAGTTGTGAATCTAGACTTAAACTGACACTAATTAAAAAAAAAATTTAAATCCTACCTAAAAAAACCCACTAACCTTGACCTTTAACCCTGACCTTGACCCAAACGCTGACCCTGTCACTGACCTAGATCAAACCTTGAACAGGGTATTTTTTTTTTTAATGTTTCTTCTTCTTCTTTTTTTTTTTACACACCGTTGTCTTTTTTTTCTCTCTGCAAGGAAAGAGAGTGATACAATGTATCCCTCTCCTCCATTCAGAGAAAGAAAACACGGGGGGCGGGCTTCACAGTTAGTAATCACTGTGATAGCCAACCAAAGGTTATCACAGTGATCAGGTGACCCTGAATCTGGAGTTCCAGGTTCTGATCATTAGTACGGGACCCAGGGCTCTCAGTGAGATGCTCTCAACCAGGGGCGGACTGACAACTCATGGGCCCCCGGGCAATAGGGGATCATGGGGCCCCTGTGTCCTTGCCAAAACTCAAAAAAGCCTATGAAAAAGCATCTCATGGGGCCCCCTACTGACCCTGGGCCCTTGGGCAGTGCCCGAGTTCCCAAATGGTCAGTCCACCCCTGCTCTCAACACAAAGAAAGATACGCAAATATGCGGCCCCATGGAAAGAAAGCTCAGTCCAAAGAGGCTGCATATTTGCGTACACTCGGTGCGCAGGGGTTAAGGGCAGGGTTGCCTGAAGGAAGCCCACATCCTCCTTAACCACTTGCCAACCGTTCATATGACGTCCTCCCAGAACACACACTTCCGCACGCCCCCAGCGGTGCTCACCCAGCATTCTCCATAATTGCTGTGTCCTACGGACACAGCTGATCATATGATGAGGTAAAAGGCTAATCACAGTGGCATTTTACCACGTGATCAGCTATGTCCAATGACATAGCAATTCACATTTTAAACACAGTTGCAGGTTATCGGCAGCACTTTCCTCACACTGTCACAGCAAATAACACAGAGGACATCTGCACTGATCATCGGGGCACTGATGATCAGTGCCGCCCAGCAGTGCCCATCAGTGCCATCTAGCAGTGCCTAGCAGTGCCCATCAGTGCTATCAGTCAGTACCGCCAGTCAGCTCCACCCATCAGTATTCCCATCTGTGCCACCTATCAGTGCTCATAATTTCTGCATATCAGTGCAGCATCACCAGTGCTGCCTCATCAGTACCGCCTATCAGTGCCCATCAGTGCTGCCTGCCCGTGCCACCTCATCAGTGCCCATCAGTGCTGCCTCATCAATGCATGTCAGTGAAGGAGAAAAATTACCTGTTGGCAAAATTTTAGAATAGAAACAAAGAAAAACATTTTTCTTTCAAATTTTTTGCTATTTTTTTTTATAGTGCAAAAAATAAAACACCCAGTGGTGATTAAATACCACTAAAAGAACGTTCTATGTGTGTGAAAAATAATGATAACAATTTCATATGGGTACAGTGTTGTATGACCGTGCAATTGTAATTCAAAGTGCGACAGCGCTGAAAGCTGAAAATTGGCCTGGGCACAAAGGGGGTAAAAGTGCCCTGTAGGTAAGTGGTTAAAGGTACAGAGATGCATGGGACGACCAGCAAGGGCATAATTGCAGCTGAAGGTATCCAATGCGTCCCCGCACCCAATTCACCAAGTATACAAACAAATGGCAACCACCCCAACCTATTATAACTAGCTATTGCAGCAAGGAGAACATGGAAGGGCGACACACATCAAAAACAAAGAAAAATTCCCAGCTTACTTACCAACCATCTGCAACAAGACCAAATTGTCCTGGCTAACAGTTCACATTAAAAACAAAGGGTTTAGTCAGACACAAACATATGTGTAAGCCGCAGTGGCCACATCAAGGCACCCCAGTGTACTGCTGTCCTAACTCTATAATTTTCAGAATCTCTCAAGTTGTGCCCTTGCTGGGTCTCCTGTGTGTCCCTGTACCTTTAAAGAGGGGTGGGCTCCTTCCAGGCAAGCCGGTCCTTAGCCACTTGCCCTCTGGAAGATTTTAGCCCCTTCATGACCAGGCTATTTTTGCAGTCATGCAACACTGTACCCAAATGAAATTTATTATTATTATACAGTATTTATAAAGCGCCAATAGTTCACTCAGCGCTGTACATTACAAAGGGGGACAGAACATGTGACAGAACAATACCAATACAATGCAAAACATAAGGGGATCGAGGGCCCTGCTCTTTCGAGCTTACAATCTAGAAGGGATGGGATAGTGGCACAGGAGGAGATAGCTGTGGGGGATGGAGTGGTAGGAAGAGTGGAGGAGGTCAGCAAGTTAGCAGGGGGTGAGGTAGGCTTCCCTGAAGAGATGGGTTTTCAGGGTGCGCCTAAAGGAGAGGAGAGTAGGTGATAATCTGATGGGTTGGGGCAGGGAGTTCCAGAGGATGGGTGACACCCTGGAGAAGTCCTGGAGGCGGGCATGGGAGGAGGAGACCAGGGAGCTAGATAGAAGGAGGTCTTGTGAGGAGCGGAGTGTGCGTGCTGGGTGGTACTTGGATATTAGGTCAGTGATGTAGTTCGGGGCAGTATGGTGGACAGCTTTGTACGTCAGAGTTAGGATTTTAAATTTGATCCGTTGCGCAATCGAAAGCCAGTGGAGGGATTGGCAGAGGGGGGTGGCGGAAACGGAGCGTTTGGAAAGGTGAATGAGTCTGGCAGCCGTATTCAGGATCGACTGAAGCGGGGATAGCCAGCGGCGAGGCAGGCCAGTGAGGAGGGAGTTGCAGTAGTCGAGTCGTGATATGATGAGGGAGTGGATGAGCTGTTTAGTGGTTTCTGGGGTTAGGAACGTGCGGATTTTGGCGATGTTGCGGAGGTGGAGTCTGCACGAATTTATATTTTTTTTTCACAGAAATAGAGCTTTCTTTTGGTGGTATTTGATCACCACTGCGTTTTTTATTTTTTATTATAAAAATTGAAAAAAAGGATGAACATTTGGGGAAAAAAAACATTTTTTACTTTCTGCCATAAAACATCCAATAAAAATGTACAAAATTAAATTTCTTCTTAAATTTCGTCCAAAATGTATTCTGTTACATGTCTGATAAAAACGATCCCAATAACTGTATCTTACTTGCTTTACTAAAAAGTGGAAGCGTCTACAAACTATTTTATATATACACTGGAATTTTTACTTATTTATTTAGTACTACTAATGGCAGTGATCAGTAACTTACAATGAGAATGTGATGTGAGAGTGTGGCGGCCAGTCTGACACTATCTGATGCTGTGGGGAACTGACTAACTGCCACTGACATCACCAGTGACAGTGATCAGTGATAATATTATACACGCTCACTGTACTAATGAAACTGGCTGGGAAGGGGCTAACATCTAGGGGAAATTAAAGGGTTAACAGTGTGCCTAAGGCTGGTCATACATTATACAATTTTTCTTGTTCAATTTTCCTTAAGATTTACCAAAACTATTTATTTTAGATGCTTGTAGAGTGCTGTCAATTTACGCAGTGCTTTACATATATATTGTACTTTCACATCAGTCCCTAACCCTCAAGGGGCGTACAATCTAAGGTCCCTAACTCACAATCATACATACACATACTAGGGCCAATTTAACTGGAGCTAATTAACCTACCAGCATGTCCTTGGAGTGAGGGAGGAAACTGGAGTAACCCATGCAGGCACAGGGAGAACATGCAAACTCCAGGCAGCTGGTGCAGGGGCGGATTGACCATTTAGAAACTCGGGCACTGCCCGAGGGCCTGGGGTCAGTGGGTCAGTAGGGGGCCCCATGAGATGCCCCTGGTACCTTTTTCATAGGCTTTTTTGAGTTTGGGCAAGGACACAGGGGCCCCATGATCCTCTATTGCCCGGGGGCCCCATGGGTTGTCAGTCCGCCCCTGAGCTGGTGCCATGGTTGGGATTTGAACCAATGACCCAAGTACTGCTGGGCAGAAGTGCTAAGCATTTAGCCACTGTGCTGCCCCAAACTAAAGACTTTCAATCTGTATACAATCAGGGCCTTGCACTACATAGTTGAAAGTAAATCCACAGGAAATTGAACACGCAAAGTATATAATGTACGGACAGCTTAACAGTGCTTGGAGTATTCACCGTGTGCTGTTTTTACTAAGAGATGCGCTGGTTTTTATTCCCTGCCGTGCAGGGAAACAAAAGTCGATTCATCCCCGTTGTCAGGACAGAGCTCTGTGTTGCTTACAATCACAGAGCTCTGTCCTGTCTTCCTCTCTGCCGATCAGCGGGTCCCAATTGGCGATCATTGCCCGGGACGTGCTAATCAGCTTGTGCTGTGACTTATCACAGCACAGCCAGGGCAGTGGGTGCACACACGCACGCCCCCTACCTGGAAGAGCTGGATCACGTATTAGATCCATGATCCAGCGCAAGAGAGAACCGTTCTTCAACTGCTACATGAGGCAGTCAGCAAGTGGTTAATCTGTAAACTGCTGTATGTGCTCCAACTTGGGAGAATCTCAGAATTATAGAGATAGGACCGCAATACACTGGGGTGTCTTGACGTGGCCACTGCGGCTTTTCAATGTCAACTGTTAGGGTCAGTTCAGTTTTGTTGCAGGCTATCTGGTAAGTGAGCTGGGAAGTTTTCTTTGCTATTGTTTGCCATGCATCGCCCTTCCATGTGTTCCTTGCTGCAAAGGCTATTTATTGCTTGGGGAGCCATTTGTTTGTATCCGACGGGCAGTACAGTGGCAAAGTGGTTAGTACTTTTATCTGGCAGTACCAGGATCGTTGGTTCAAACCACACCACCTGCATGAAGTTTGCATGTTCTCCCTGTGCCTGCGTGGGTTTCCATTCGGGTACTCCTGTCTCCTCCCATACTCCAAAGATATGCTGGTAGGTTAATTTTCTCCCGACTAAGGCTGTAGATTTTCGGACGAGAATATTTATGAGAAAAGTCATACCAAAATTGTTTGAACATTTGATGAATGGATGAATGTCATTCGAAAATTGTCTTTTTCTTTTAACATTCGACTTTAAAATGAACGTCATTTCTGAACGATAACCACATACACTGGCCGAAAATTTGTTTGATGGAGAAATTTTTCTTTTCTGCCCCTTCTAATTTTCCTGTCACTGCTGTCGAAAATGAACATTGATTTGACCCCAATAACGATTAGAAAATCAAGCGAATATTCTTGAAACGACAATTCTTGAACAAAAATCTATATGTGTATGGCCATAAATTATACAATTTTCTTTTGATTTACCTTCAACTATTTAGTGCAAGGGCCTGCCTGATTGCATACAAATCGAAAAGTGTACAACGAAAATTGCACAAGAAAATTGTATAATGTATGGCCAGCCTAAATTGGCCCTAGTATGTGTATGTGTGGATGTGAGTTAGGGACCTTAGATTGTATGCCCCTTGAGGACAGAGACTGATGTGAATGTACAATATACACTGTATGTAAGTGTGGTGTAAAATGACGGTGCTAGGTACCTGTAATGAATAAAATAGTTTACACCATTACAGTGCAATGAAAAAAAGGCATGCTGCAACTTTCCGCACCGCAAACCTGTGAAAATGCACCACAACGCAGTGCAGATAAAAGGCCAAAAAAGAAAAAGAAGTGAGCTCTAACTGAATACATTTTGGCCAAGATTTATGAAGAAAGATTATTTCTTTGCAACATTTTATAAGAAAAACACTTTTTTTTCAAAATTTTTGGACTTTTTCATTTATATAGCAAAAAAAATAAAAATCCCAGTGGTGAATAAATAGCACCAAAATAAAGTTTTATCGGTCTCAAAAAAAATGCTAAAAAATTCTTCTGGGTACAGTGTTGCATGACCGCGCAATTGTCATTCAAAGTGTGATAGCGCTGAAAGCTGAAACTTGGCCTGGACAGTTAGGGGGTGAAAGTGTCTGGACTTGAAGTGGGTTAAAAAAAAAAAGTCCCCGACCCTTTCCAAAAAAAAAACGCACTGGGTGAAAACGCAGATGCAGTGGAAAACGGTATGAACCTAGACCAGCAATGGGCAAACTACGGCCCGCGGGCCGTATACGGCCCGGCGGACCTTTTAATCCGGCTCCCGCTAGGCTCCTCTCACAGTCCGCCCTGAAGACCGGTGTAGCATGAAAATCTGTCTCCTATGAGGATCTGTCCCCCTCGACGTTTCTGCGCATGTGCCGGAGATCGCCGATCGGCTGCTAATGCCTGAAACTGACACATGCGCAGATACGTCGAGGGGGACAGATCCTCATAGGAGACAGATTTTCATGCTACACCGGAACGGTGCGGGGAACATGGCGAGAGGAACGCGCGGAGCAAAGGTAAGTGAATTGACACAAGGGGGACTTGGGGACTTAATATGGGGGATGAATTAATATGGGGGATGAATTAATATGGGGGGTGAATTACTATATGGGGGACGAATTACTATGGGGGACGAATTACTATGGGGGATGAATTACTATATGGGGGATGAATTACTATATGGGGGATGAATTACTATATGGGGATGAATTACTATATGGGGGATGAAATACTATGGGGGATGAATTACTATATGGGGGATGAACTACTATATGGGGGGATGAATTACTATGGGGGATGAATTACTATGGGGGATGAATTACTATATGGGGATGAATTACTATGGGGGATGAATTACTATATGGGGGATGAATTACTATATGGGGATGAATTACTATTGGGGGGATGAATTACTATATGGGGGATGAATTACTATGGGGGATGAATTACTATATAGGGGATGAATTACTATATGGGGATGAATTACTAGGGGGGATGAATTACTATATGGGGGATGAATTACTATGGGGGATGAATTACTATATGGGGGATGAATTACTATGGGGGATGAATTACTATATGGGGGATGAATTACTATATGGGGATGAATTACTATAGGGGGGATGAATTACTATGGGGGATGAATTACTATATGGGGGATGAATGAATTACTATATGGGGATGAATTACTATGGGGGATGAATTACTATATGGGGGATGAATTACTATATGGGGATGAATTACTATATGGGGATGAATTACTATGGGGGATGAATTACTATTACTATGGGGGATGAATGAATTACTATATGGGTGATGAATTACTATATGGGGGATTAATTACTATGCTTACTATAGGGGAATATTACTATACTTACTATGGATGACACATACACATCATTCATCTACTTTTGGTCCGGCCCCCAGGTCCAATATATGAACCCATTGCGGCCCTCAAGTCAAAACGTTTGCCCACCCCTGACCTAGACTAATGTAGGCCATAGATGGATTGAAAAATCAGCGGCTTTTTTAGAAAACAAAATGAAAAATCGGTCTTTCAGTAGGCCAAAGTTACCACCAACGGTAAAAAAAATATGCCGATTTTCGTCCCGTCTACGGCCGGCCTTTAATTACTTCTGTCCCTGCAGAGAGATCCGCTATTATATTTGACATAAAAAAGTATTGCAGTTGCAACAATGTATCCATTTGTATCCATAGATACATTGTTGCAACCGCAATACTTTTTCATGTCAAATATAACAGCAACTGGAATTCTTCTTTTTCTTGCAGGTCACGGCTCATGCACAGATTTTTTATTGGTAAAAAGATCAGCCGATTTGCCCATGATTGCAGCGAAAATCAGCTGATTGGCAAAATCGGCTGATTTTTTTCCAACTTCCAAAATGTGCCAAAATCCAGAAAAACGGCTGACCAATTAACCCATTAACAGTGTGCAAATTGGGCAATTTTTTTTTTCGGCTGAAAAATCGGCTGATTTTTGGCCCATCTATGGCCTGCATAATGTAGGCCATAGACGGGTCTTTTATCGGCCGAATTGTCGACCACACGAAAAATCGGCCGATATTCACGCCATTAGTGGGGGAATACCGTCGGCTGTCTTTTGCAGATCTTCTCATTTACTTTTATCAGTCATGCTGGAAAATCCATGAAAAACGTCCGTTTTTCGTGGACATTGGTGGCAGCATCGCTGCAAGCACCGACCGATTTTTTGTTTATTGGCTGAGCCCATCTATAGCCTGCCTAATGCAGGCCATAGACGGGGAGAAAACTGGCCAATTTTTTTTTTGAAAAACGAAAAATCAGTCGTTCAATCAGCCATTACCACTATTGGTAAAAAAAAGGTCGGCTGATTTTCGTCCCGTATACAGCCGGCAATTATATAGGATATATGCAGAAGAAGAAGAAATAGAATATGAAGAAGAAGAAATAGAATATGAAGAAGAAGAAATAGAATACGAAGAAGAAGAAAAATAGAATACGAAGAAGAAGAAATAGAA